AATAGAACATGGTGTCTGTCTAGAAGGGCTTTTCTCAATAATCCAGTAGAAAGAAAAGATATGTCTTCCACGCGGCATGTGCTTAATAACTAGTTATTCTGGTTGGAAGACTGATTTATGCTTCACAGCAGGCAATACTGCCAGAAGCAAAAGCTGAATTTTCCTGTGCAGATGACAGACAGATAAGACCCTGAGTAGTGAATGGACTGTGCAGTAGAACTAAATGTAGGAGACAAAGGAGAGGAGAGTGGTCAACATCTTGGAAATAAGTGGAGGGGTTTGGGGAGGGCTTTGCAGGGAGACAACAGAAAGGCTAGGGTCACAAATTATGAGAACACCTCTGGGTAATGGTGGGGACCCAACTAGATTGGGGCAGGGCTAGGGGCTAATGGTCTTCAAAGAATGGCCTGGGGTTTCAGCTCCACTTACGCAGGAAGCATCTGGGAGCCCCTGTGGGTTCTTGAGAGGAAGACAAACCTTTTGAAGCCAGACCTTCAGATCTCTAGCCTAACTGTTGTTTCCAGGTGACTGAGGGATCAAAGGATATTTCTGACCTCAGAAATGCTCAGAAGGATGATGGGATAGCATGGAGTCAGATGGTTTGATTTGGGTCCTGGTTCTTCTACTTACTAGCTGTGTATCCTTTGGCAAGTTACTTAATTACTCTGCCACAGATTCCTTCTTTATAAAATGGCGACAATAATAGTACCAACCTCAGAGTGTTATTAGAACGATGACATGAGTTATATAGATAAAGTGCTGAGAATAGGACTTAATACGTAGTAAGTGCTATATTAGTGTTAGCTGCTACTATTGTTGTTTTCAAAAATGGGAAAGAAGAAACTTCATTTTAGACAAAAAATAAATCTAAGTGGAAATGTTCTATATTCGTTTGGAAACACTGACTTAGATTTGGAGAGAAGAGGTAGAACTGAAAGAGACTTAAATGTTGTCAATTGTGCAACTAGCATCTTCTATGAGGTATGACATTCTGTTGCCTCAAAATCAAGCAATTTTTCTTTCCATCTGTCTAGCATTTTCTCACTTAAGGGCTAATGCTGCAGTGTCTTCTCTTTAAAAAAAAATCAAATTCTCATTAAAAACAGAAACAAAAGTCCTCCTCCTTACTCGTGTCTCAGGACTGGAATTATGTGACACTCTCGAACCCCCTTTCTTCTGCCTTAGTCAGAGACAGATGGCACTGCTGAAGATAAAACGTCCTCCCTCACCCCCTGCGGTGAAGATGATGAACTTGACCCCAGCCAGGATATCACACAACTCCTAACTCGAAAGCTGGTGAAGCTGTTTGTTTTGAGTGGGCGACACCTGAAAAGACAAATAGCAGAGAGACACTTTGAGCACATGAGTTAGATGGGCAGAATCTGGCCTTTCTTCTTGGACAGAATGTGCCGACTCGAAGCCAGCCAAGAGTAACGGAGCAAACAGTGCCAGGATCTGGGGTCACACAGCGTCACATAGTGTCACTCACTGTGCGTGGCTAGCAACCCTGATATTCCCTGAGCCAGGACAGGGTAGAAAATGCCACACATGGGTCCTCGATGGTGAATCACGATGAGGTAGAGTTTGTCTCTGACATACCGAGGCCAATGCACGGCCAAAGTGATTTTACCAACAAAGATGGGGGGCGCTTTGTCAGAGGGAATGGTCAGCAAGAGGGCAAAGGCAGACGGCACATAGACAAAATGTCCCACACCCTTTCTTAATAGAGGCTGAAAAACGACTGGAGTCAAAATCCATCTTGAAGCAAAGGCCTTTAAATAGCTTTAAATACCTGCCGTGTGTGGGAGGCATCACCACAGCTGCATGATAGTAGGAACGTTTTTTCTATTTCGCATATGCCCTTTTTGAGAAAGAAAATAAAAGTCATAAGAGGAAGGAATAAAAGACAGGAAGGGGAAATCAGATTATGATGCAGAAGACTCTTTGTGACTAGAATAAATGCCTGAAAAATAAAACACTGTAGAAACCAGCAGATCTCATTTCCCTACCCCTGCTAAATCTGGGTCATGTGAGAACTTTCAAAGGTATCGGTTACATTGATGCGTTGTGCTGGCTGGACTCTATGGCAACGTTCTGGTCTTTTGTCTCCTTCAGATAATGTGCTAAATTGCCTATTTAAGGCACTGACAAAAGACTGTCTTCTCATGCAGAGGGCACCACATAAGGGCTTTTCTCAAGTGAGCGAGCCACTTTCCAGCCAGATGTGCTGGTGGTTCAGGGCAGGGATGACCCCACGTGATGGGTTTTCTGGTGCAACTGTGATGTGCGTGTGCGCCATGACACATAGTTTGACCCCTGTATTACTGAGTGCGTGGCAGAGCAAGTGACAATGGAGGCGGTTCCCTTGCTCCTCTTCACCTCCTCCTCCACTGTTCTCTCCCAGCTCCTCTGTCAGGGCAGCTGCTGCCCAAGTTTCCCACTGGCAGAGGCAAGGAACCCCTGGGCTTTTAACTCCCAGCTGTGGCTGAATTTCAGGGCTTTCACTAAGATTTTCTTAATGGTGAGCTTCAGCCGAGTCAAAATTCAGCCAAATTCTAGCCATCTAGCAATGCTTCTTTGTTCACTACACTTTCTAGCAATGATCAACACTTTGGGGTTCTCTCATGCAGTACTGTCTTCCTTGAGGTGATCTGTAGATGGCCCATTGAATATGAAACAGCAGAAACCATTTTGAATTATCACTCTTCCGGGATAAATGAAAGGTGCTTAGTGCTCCATATTTATGCTTCCAGGAAGAATTGATCTGATGGCAGCACAGAGTGTTTGGCTATGAGCTGCAGTGTGCCATGGCTAGCCTTCCAACACTGAAATCTCTGCCACTTTGAGCAATACCTCAAGCTGTGTCTCCAGGGGGCTGTCATCAAAATGAGCAGATGTTCCCTGAGATGGGGCATCAAGTCAATTAATCTGTTCCAATCTGCATGCCTTTCTTTCTTTTTCCTCCCATTGGCTAGGACCTCCAGTACAATGTTAAATAAAAATCATGAGGGTAGATACTTTTGCTACTGTTTTTAGGGGAAAGGAATCTTTCACTGTGGAGGATGATGTTCACTGTAGAATTTTCGTAGATGCCCTTTTTCTGATTGGGAAGGTTCCCTACGCTTCCTGGTTTAATGAGAATTTTTATTAAGAATGGGTGCTCGCGGGTTCGAGACCCGCCTGGGCAGCGAGACCTCATCTCTACAATTAATCAAAAAATCAGCCGGGCGTGGTAGTGCATGCCTGTAATTCCAGCTACTTGGAAGGCTGAGGCAGTAGGATCCCCGGAGCCCAGTAGGCGAGGCTGCGGTGGCCAGGAGCGGCCACTGCACTCCAGTCTGGGTGACAGAGTGAGACGCCAACTCAAAAAAAAAAAAAAAAAAGAATGGGTGCTGAGCCGGGCTCGGTGGATCAGCCTGTAATCCCGCGCCTTTGGAAGGCTGAAGTGAGTGGATTGCCTGAGCCCGCGGGTTCAAGACCCGCCTGGGCAGCTAGACCTCATCTCTACAATAAATCAAAAAATCAGCCGGGCGTGGTAGCGCATGCCTGTAATTCCGGCTACTTGGAAGGCTGAGGCGGAAGGATCGCCAGAGCCCAGCAGGTCGAGGCTGCGGTGGCTGGGAGTGGCCACTGCACTCCAGTCTGGGCAACAGAGTGAGACTCCAACTCAAAAAAAAAAAAAAAAAAAAGAATGGGTGCTGAGTTTTATCAAGTGCTTCTTTTACATCCATTTAGATGAGCATATGATTTTTCTTGCTTAAATTGTTAATATGCTGAATTATATTAACTGAATGATTTGAGTTTGGGGCTCTGTTTTGACAGGTAGTTAAATTACTTGCAGATGAGTTCAATCCTTTCATAGCTTGTTTTTAGGCGCTGTGATGATGGGCCCACAGCAGCCTTTACCCTGGGGCTGATGTAGTCAAGACAAGACTCTTCCAAGAGATCTAGAAAATATCCAATGGTTTTATGAGCTCTTGTCATGTTAACCGGTAGGAGTGAGAACTTCTGGCTGTGTAAGCTCTGAGAGTTGCTAGTGAACTGTCTGTGAATTCCTTTCCTGCTCCTGTACTGTTCCCTCATGCAGGTCATCACTCAAAGACTTCGGAAGCCCTCTGCAGATCTGGAGGTCTCCTTCTGCACAGCTCTCTCCTTTCTGCTATTCTGTCTTGCAAATTCTAGCCATCTCTATCTCCCAAACTCTGATTTTTTAGCTCTTCAACTTAATAAGATCGACAGGCTCTGTTTGGGATCCCTGTGTTGCTTAGAACTACCTCCTGGGAGTGAGCCTGGACAATCTGAGGGTCCCTGCACTGCCCATGGTTCAAAGTTGACACTCACGGCTGCTTAGCCCATGACTGGTTTCTAGCTGTGTGGGGAAGATGACTCTCCAACCATTCCTGCAGTCATGGCTCCCTATGAACAGAAGCAGAAATTGCACCCACTCCCTTTGTTCACCATCCCTGTTAATGGTTATTCTAAAGCAACTTTACCTGTTTTGCTATTGTGATTAAAAGAATTTTGTTTTGGAATGTCACACAAAGGACCATTAGATGGAATCTGAGGCAGCATCACTTGTAACCACTCTAGGCCTTAGTTCCAACGTCTATAAAATGGGAGTAAGGATACCTGCCCAGCCTACCACAGCAATATATTGTGAGAAATTAAATAACGTAGATCACTCCCACTATGATAGCACCACACAAAGCCCTTGGAAGGTTGCAGTGTCAGACTTCCCATTAGGACCTCCTTACCTTCTTCCCACTGTTACTGGGATCATCACTCTTGCAGTTCACTCCTCTCTCCAACCTGTTGGCCCAGCCAAATTTCTCTAGGAATAATTCAGCAGAGCCACCCAGAAATACTATAATGACCCTATGGTATTACAAGATGGCATGCCAGAATTTCTTGCACAACAGGCTAATATGTCTTTCGTTTGTTTGTATTTTTGTTTGTGTGTGTGTGTGTTTTTTGTTTGTTTGTTTGTTTGTTTTTGTCAGGGCTACCTGGAGCTGCAGGAAGTCCAGGAGAAAAGGGAGAAAAGGGAGATCATGGAGAACTGGGCTTGCCAGGAAACGAGGGCCCACAAGGGCAGAAGGGAGAAAAGGGAGACAAAGGAGATGTGTCCAACGATGTGCTCCTGGCAGGTAAGAGGGATACTCTTTGGCTGTCTTTGAGGGCAATGGGCCCAGGGAGCTGCATGGTTTCCAACACAGGGGCTGCTCTGTCTTCTTTCCTTATTGGCCTTATGTGACCATCTGTTTTGACATGTTTTAGACTTCCGTGCTTCCCAAAAGGAGAAACCTGTGCATGTTACTCCATGTGGGCAAGACCAGACCTGGGATCTAAGCATAAGTCATTTAGGTCATTCAGGTCTCAAAACCATGGCTGGATTGAATGGGATGGAGGCTTCCATTTCCAAATAGCTATTGAAATCCAGCACAGTCCAGAACAAGACAAGTGAGTAAGCAACTTAAGATTGCTCAGAAGACAACAGAGAAAAGACACAAGCATTGCCTTCACAGTCAAAGTAGAGCCATGTTCAGCACCTGATCCTAAGCCTTTTCACTTAGAAATACAGTGGCTAATTTTCCAGCCCAGGGTAAAAGCAGATAGTTGGTGTTTGTGGGGGAAGAGGGTAAGGGGCAGCCGGCCACGCAAAGACAATTACACGGTAGAATGAGTTAGTGACAGCTGACACTCATGGAGGAGGAAGAGGCAGAAGAATTTTAAAAGCACAATACATTGGAGACCGTCTGTATCATGAAACATAACTATTCTATTAATGTACTCAGTAAACACGTGTTGAGTCCCAGAGAACACTGTTTATGAACCAGGGACTTTACTAGTAGCTAAAAGTGAGTAAGACACCATATCTGTTTTCAAGAAGCGAGGATGATCACAGATGTTCAGAATAATGACCCTGAATCAGCCGGCCATCCAACCATCCACCCACCCATTCAAACTTGACTGAGTGCCTACTATGTATCAGGGAAAGAGCAAGTTATGTTTAGTATATTTTGTTTCATAAACAGGGGATATTCTACACAAATATGCAATTTAAGAAGTATTTTGACAGGGTAATATACGTAAATATATTTGAAAAAATATGAGATCATGTTACACTTCAGTTATATAGGAAATCTACATGTCCAGATTGTCACATTCCCTTGTGCCACTGAAGTGAGTGGTGATGACAGGCCCTTCAGAAAAGCCCCCTCCTTTATGCACCCAACTGAAAAGACCAGGCCAGAGTGGAGCGTGTCCTCCAGTGGAGAGTGGAGTAGGTGTAGGAGATGGGGCCACATCTGCTCTACCTACAGATCTCTGCCCCTTCCTGGGTAGATGTAGGCCTGGCTCCAGCTCCTGTGGCCTCACTAGAGCCCTCTAGAGAGACTGAAGAGGCTTATCTGGTCTGACTGTGAAGAGGCAGCTAAAGAGGCCTCTGCTTACCAGTCTCAGCCCAGGACAGGAGAGGGAACTAAAGGGATGACCAGCCCAGTGAGTGGCACTTTTATGAAAGCTCCTGAACTGGCGGCCCTGCTACGGGCTGCATCTCACAGGGGCGGCCTGAAGCTAGAGGGGTGGCTACCTGCGGGGGGGGGGTTGACCCTGCAGCCATCACGTTATTCATAGCAATGACCTCACTGGTTCTCACAGGGCAGGGCCGGGACTATGAGACTCAATCTGGAGATGAAAAAACAGGCTCAGAAGGGTTAACTTCCCTGCCCAAGCTCACAAAGCTGAGCAGGGCAGAACTTAAAGCAGTCCCTGATTTCTTCCACCATACAGCACAGTGCTTCTCAGACCTGGCTGCACGCTCTGAGGCTTCAGAAGACACAGTGACCAACCTCCCACCAACTTTCCAATGCACCTGGTTTGGGGTGAGGCCCAGGAGCTCAAATGTTGATAAAGCTGATTAGGTGATTCTCATAAGCAGCCAAGGTTGAGATCCACTGACACTGGTTCCATGAAAACAGGACGAGGTTTTGGAATGAGACACACCAAAGTCCTGTTCCAGAGCTCTTCAGATCATAACCGCAGAAAAATCACTTCCTTTCCTAAGACTCTGTTGTCCGAGGGGATAACTATTGCACATCTCAGAATAGTTGGGAGAAATGACGGGGACATTTGCAAAACTCTTAGCACAGTTTCTGGCACCTGGTTTGTACTCAGCACCCACTAGGGGTTGTTTCTTGCTCAAGTAAGTGACCTCTAGGAAGGGGTGGCTCAGCCAGACTCCCTGGAGTTGTTCAGTATTCCTTTTCCTCATGTGAAACCCGATTTCTGATGATCAATCAATCAATCTCTCTGCCTCTCTCCCTCCTCCCTCCCTCTTCCTCTCCCCTTCCCTGTCTCTTCTCTCATTCCCTCTCCCTCTCCCTTTCTCTCTCTCCAGGTATCAAAGGTGACCAAGGCCCACCCGGCCCACCTGGACCCCCAGGCCCTCCAGGTCCTCCAGGGCCCCCTGGAAGTAGAAGAGCCAAAGGCCCTCGGCAGCCAAACATGTTCAACGGCCAGTGCCCAGGTCACTAATCCTTGCTGCCCCCAAGAAACCTGCCTCCTCCACTAATGATTCCAAATTCTTGGTCTACACACCAGACTTTGTGATAAGATTTTTTTAAGCAGAGGGAGGAAATCCCCCCCCCCCCACTTGCAACATGCTCATGAAAGGTCTGAACGGTCTGCCCTGGGATGAGGACCGGGGGCAGGTTTAGAATTGGGCTCCCGGCTGGGCTTGGTGGCTCAGCCTGTAATCCCAGCACTTTGGGAGGCCGAGGTGAGTGGATTGCCTGAGCCGGCGGGTTCGAGACCTGCCTGGGCAACTTGACAAGACCTCATCTCTACAATAAATAAAAAAATCAGCCGGGCATGGTAGCGCGTGCCTGTAGTTCCAGCTACTTGGAAGGCTGAGGCGGAAGGATGCTGGAGCCCAGCAGGTTGAGGCTGCGGTGGCCGGGAGCGGCCGCTGCACTCCAGTCTGGGTGACAACGTGAGACTCCAACTCAAAAAAAAAAAAAAAGAATTGGGCTCCCCCCCATCCCTCTTCATTCATATATCTACAGACTGCTCTTCCTCCTCACCATATCTACCATCCCTCTCCCCTGAAACTGTCTTGAGGGCTATGCTGCTAACTTTTCACAGTGACACACTCTTGGGAGAGTGAGGGCCTAGACTGATGCTTAGGAGATGCTGGGAGGTTCAAACTGGTTGGCTCCCCACAAATAGTAATCACAGTGCTACTATTGCCACCACTAATTTTTGAGTGCTGAGGCACAGTGCTACATGTTTAGCTCATTTAATTGTCACAACAATCCCATGATATTAGAATCATTATTGTCTCCAACTTACAGATACCAAACTGACACCCCAAGAAGCTAAGGAACTTGCCCAAGGTCACTCAATGAGGAAGTGGCAGAACTAGGATTCAAACCCAGGTCTGCCTGACTGCAAAACCTCAGCTCTGAGAAACATCCTTTCAGAAATGGAAATTTGCACTTTGAGACCTGACCCAAGTCAACCAAGGGCAAGGAATACCGGATCTCTGGCAGGCCAAGAGAACTGGTTTTGCAGTCTGTTTGGGGCAAGGAGGCCATGGGATTGAAAGCTAATTAGAAATCAGGAATCATATTAATAGAAAATACTTCTAGGACAATGCTAAAACTTATTCCCAAAAGGGCTGATTTAAGACCTATCATCTGGCTTAACTCCCAAGGAGGAACAATTTGCTGACATTGCCTCAGTGGCAAACATAGAGGAGGGTCTAACTGGAGTTTCCCAGCCTTGCTGTGGTTGTTGCTGCTACTTTCCTAACCAGTCTTGAGTTCTGTGTGATGCACTGTTCTTTTTGGAAGACATTTGGGGGCATGAACTCAGCTGTCAGAGTGGGCGAATTTGTTCCTTCAAAGATGTTCCCATTCCTCTTCCCCGCTCAATGGAGCCTGATTAGCATTCTGCCCAGCAGTTAATGCCATGTTAAATCTCTCAGAGCTGCTCCTTCCTTCGCTGGCGTTCAGCCCCACCCCATCCATTAGCATCAGCACTTTGTTCAGCTTCCCTTGGAGAATGAGCTGAGTGGGACCTTCCCCTGAGAGAAGGGGGCTCTGACCTGAGCTTCTGCAGAATTCTAATTTGCTAAAGGCTCTGTCAGCCAATGGCAGTCTGTGTCTGGAGAAGTAGTTCCCGCAGCTCAGCCTATCTGCTGAGAGCTGGGTTGGCAGGGGTTGGGGCCAGAGTTGTGAAAACTGCTTTAAATGAGAGGCATTATCTTCCATCCTGCCTTCTAGAAATAAGTCCCTGATTGCCAGGCATTTGTATTTGAACTTGGCCCTCTCTCTCACTCCAGTTCCATTCCTTTAACACCCTTTAATTTCCCAAGCAGAAACTCCAGATGAAGCCCAGAGGCAACAGGATTGCCTGTGGGGGAGCTTAACAGATCCCCGAGACTGTGGTCATCAGGTGACAGGAGGACTTCAGAGAAACACTGGCTTACCCAACTAGAAAGATGCAGAGATCATGTAGGATCTGGCCTCATTCTTTTGCTGATAAAGAAACCCCTTCAAATTATTCTGTGAGCTTCCCTAGTGACAGTAGAGAGGCTGCCCTTTCTGTTGAGCAGCCATAAAGTGACTTGAATCCCTCCAAATTCATCCAGGTGAGTGGGCCTGGCTTTCCCTATAAAGCCCAATTTGCCCCGATCTACCTCAGACCACGGCCTATGCTCTTCACACTGGCCGTGCTGTTCCCCTCCCCTTGCCACCTCAAAGCTCTTCTTCCTCAAAGGTTTACATTAAACCCATTCATTAAGGGGAACACTGATAAGACAAGGAGGATGAGCTGCAGCTCAGGAGCAGCCTTGAATCAACCATGAATCAGGCACTGCCAAGGACCTGTGTCCCTCTGGGCCTTCAGGCAGAGATGGCATGGAAATGGCCCTCAGGGGATTCTAACATCTCTGGGCCAGGTTGCCTCTAGCTTTCTTTTTCCTCTGAGGCTCTGACATTCCTCCCCTGATGCCTCCCCAGGATGGCACTGGGTACAGTGGATCACCCCATCTCTAAGGCTGCTTCTTCCAGTGTCCTCAATAACTCCTCTAAAAATGAAAATCCCTCCAGAACAATGCAATCAAGATAGTGAGACCACCTGCCATGGTGTGGGGGAGGGGGAGCCAGGAAGGTGTCAATAAGCCTCTCTTCCTCCCGGATTGACTATGGTTTGAACTGGCTGGCTCGGGCAGCTTTTCTCTTTACTGACATCATCTTGGGATTGTATTATCTTAGCATCTATGGTCGTGGAACACTTGTTGGGAACTGACCAAGCAAGAGGGAAGCATATGGCTTGGGGTTGCTTAAGAGCAAGCAACCAAGGAACACAGTGGGCCTACTGCACGGCATGCTTATGGGCCTAGAATCTGGGAGAGATGGGGGAAAGCAGCAATTATAAAGTTATACAAACCTCACCATACCAACTGTATTTGCCCTGATTATGGTTGCTGTTGCCATTTTAGGTGAGTCATGTGCCATACCAAACGATGACACCTTGATTGGAAAAGCTGATGATAAAGTCAGTGAACACCATTCCCCACAAGCAGGTACAGAAACAAAGCATCCTGTCCTGAAATTTGGAAATTGGGTGGCTTCAAGTCATAACTGGACCGTGAGTGACTTTCCTTTCTCTTCTTTTGTCAGAATCCATGATCACAGGCATTGGCAACCCAGTGCAAGTACTAAAAGTTACAGAAACATTTGGGACTTGGATAAGAGAGTCTGCTAACAAGAGTGATGACCGTATTTGGGTGACTGAGCATTTTTCAGGTACTATCACTGGGCCGATGGTTCATATCTGTATGGAAATATTCCATTGTCTACCTTCAGGCTTATTCTATTTTTTGTGTCTGAAATCCCTGCTAATTGCTGTTATTAATTGCTCTTTATTTTAGAAAGTACAAACAAATGGAGAGAATACCTTCCTCCTTTGAACATGCTGGTGGCAAGCCTTGCAGTTCAGGTCACAGGGACCCCAAATGTGGCCTATCCAATTTTGGGCAAAGTAACCAGAAGAAAACAAATAGCATTACAATTGCAGACCTTACAAACCCCAAATCATAATGGGAAGAAACATCAGAGACACATCCTTGTGCACGATCTGTCTTTCTCTAAGTTTGCCACTCTCCCAGGAGAGTGTTTTGGCCATTTTCCCAGGTGTCTGTGCGATGGAGAGCCCAGGGAGAAGGTGACATGCCACTTTGCTGCTATGTTGCATCTGAGCAGCAGACTGAAACCCCAGTCGACTGCCCCACAGGGATGTGGTCAGGAATTGCCAGTGGTGGTGACAGTGGCCTTATCCCAGAAGGGGTCTGGCGTACTGACTGGTTAGAGAAATAGCTGAGAAGAAATTGGTTCTTTATTTCATCAAAGTGAACTGTTCAGCTGGCAGTAACTGCCCAGGGTGCCAGCTAAGAAAGATTTTGTGACTCAAAAGGGAAGAGTAGGACCAGACTCCGTGGCTCAGCCTGGTAATCCCAGTGCTTTGGGAGGCTGAGGCGAGTGAATTGCCTGAACCCACGGGTTCGAGACGAGCCCGGGCAACTTGGCGAGACCTCATCTCTACAATACATCAAAAAATTAGCTAGGTGTGGTAGTGCGTGCCTATAGTTCCAGCTACTTGGAAGGCTGAGGCGGAAGGATCACCGGAGCCCAGCAGGTCGAGGCTGCAATGGCCGGGAGCATGCCACTGCAATCCAGTCTGGGTGACAGAGTGAGACTCCAACTCAAAAAAAAAAAAAGGAAGAGAAATATTGGGCATTAGCAGTGGCTGCTGTGGAGCGCAGGGCAAGGTGGGAAGAGGCCAAAGGTGACTGCCTGAGTGCTAACTATCTGCTCTTCCTAGCACAGACCTGTGCTGCTCTGATAGAGGATTTTATAAATACCACAGAGTGGGGCGGGGAGAGGGTGACACGTAGTTCTCTCAGGAGGAGCAAAGCCAATTCTGTGGCTACTATGTTTGAAAGACATTTTGGAAATCCATAAGGAGAACCAGACTTAAGCTTAGGAGTTTCAGGTTGTTGAAGCTGGACAAGTGGCCTTAGGGAACGTCTCACTCTCGGCCTCCCTCCTTTTGAGCCCCTGGTGACCTCACTCCCAGGCTGTGATTGCTGAATGGCAGGTAACATCCTCTCCCTGGCTTCCCTCCTGCAGGCATCATGGTGAAGGAATTCAAGGACCAGCCCTCACTTCTGAATGGCAGCTACACGTCCATCCAGCTCCCTTACTATTTTCATGGTTGTGGGCATGCTGTTTACAACAACTCTCTCTACTACCACAAAGGGGGCTCCAACACCATTGTGAGGTGAGTCACCCTGGACCATGCTCCCTTCCTGTGGCCCGCATCTCAGCACCTTCTCAGGCATCTCAGCACCTGCTGTGCGGGGCTACTTAGAGGTAGGGACTGTGTTTTCATGATCTTTATGTCCCTGTGGCTGGCACACAGCCAGAGGTCAGGCACGGCCAAGTGAAGCACAGGGTATGTGAGTGTGCCCCATGTCCCAAGCCCTGCCTGGGGTCTGCACTTATTGCTGGCCTGGACACCCTGAGGAAGGCCAGAACCAGGAACAAGCAGACAGAGGTGAGGGGTGCAGCTTTCTCATCCTCTGAGAAAGGAAGCATCCAGAACCCAGAGTTACCTCTGGGGGAACATGTTGTTCCCTGATAACAGTTTTGTTTTGAAAAGCTGAATGTGAGGGATTTTATGTCACCACTGAAGTCTAGGAACTGCACCCCAGAGCCAGGCTTCTCTGCCTTCAGGTTGATTTGTCATCTTGATGGAGCCCTCCGGGGCCTCACTCTGGGAGGGCTCACTGGGGTAGACGCTACTCAGGGCAGTAGCTGAGCCTTACTGCCACAAGAATTGCTGAAGGTTTCTTTCCTTCCTTCCTTCCCTCCTTCCTTCTCTCTCTCTTTCTCTTTCTTTCTCTCTCTTTTTTTTTTTGAATTGCTGAAGTTTTGACTATGGCTCAAGACGAAATCAAGATCTGAACTTTGGAGGCAGAAGCAGGTTGTCTTGGGCAAATCAAGAAAGCAGTAATTTTGCCCTTTCAAGCCAGGACACCTAGCTTCTGATTCCAACTCTTCTGCCATCTCGCTCTATGGCCTTGGACAAGAGACACCACCTCCTGTGGTCTCTGTGTCCTCAACTAAAAATTAAAAGATGGACTAGATCCTCCGAGTCCCTCCAGCTTTACCCCTAAATGAAATAATAATCCTGGTATTATGAATAGTGCTCCTAGTCATTCAAAACAAGAAACAATGACCTTGAGGGAGGCTGGGTCCCTTCTCTCTTTCTTCCTCATCCTCCTCCTACCCTTAGTGAGGGCCAGCTTTAACAAGCTCTTTGGCATATGAGTGCTCAAGTTAGGATAGGGATGGGCTGCGTAGTGTCATGTGCAATTTGATCAGTCACATTAGACACAGGCTATGTCCGGAAGCACCCCTCCTTTTGTCTCTCCCTCCCCTCTACAGACTCCCCTCATCTCCACATCACTCCCTGGCCAGCCTATTTGGGCAGAGTCTCATGCTAGTAGAAAAGGACACCTATACATAATCCACCACCTGCCCAGATGTCCAAGACACATTCCTTCTCGTGATGCTTCTCAATTAGTTACATGGCTCCCTGCTGCCATATTATACACACGGAGGTCAGGTAGGAGGGGAGTCCAGGGTGAATAAGCCCTAGAATGAGGACTGGCCTTTTTAAGAGAGTCTTCTAGCTGGGCTCGGTGGCTCAACCTGTAATCCCGCGCCTTTGGGAGGCTGAGGTGAGTGAATTGCCTGGGCCCGCGGGCTCGAGACCCGCCTGGGCAGCGAGACCTCATCTCTACAATAAATCAAAAAATCAGCCGGGCGTGGTAGTGCGTGCCTGTAATTCCGGCTACTCGGAAGGCTGAGGCGGAAGGCTCGCCGGAGCCCAGCAGGCGAGGCTGCGGTGGCCGGGAGTGGCCACTGCACTCCAGTCTGGACGACTGAGTGAGACTCCAACTCAAAATAAAATAAAATAAATAAATAAAAGAGAGAGTCTTCTAAAGGAAGACAAGTTTGTGATGCGCTATTTGAGAGACCTGTACTGAGGTCTCCTGCTCTATGCCAGGCACCAGGCTGGGAGCTGAGGGAGAGGAAGACCTGAATTAGACCCTGTTCTTGCTGGGAGAGATGAGCCTTACCAAAGGACGCCACTGCTAGGTACCGGGACCAGAAGACACCAAGTGGCAGCAGTACTAAACTCCAGGCATTTAGAGGAGGGAGAATTACAGTGAGTTGAGATGGCCAGGGACCTTCCCAAGTCCTCACTGTTCTCTAGTTTCTTTCAAACTTACTTCAAGGTTTCTTAATAGACTTCAAGTCTGCCATGCTCAAATGCATATCCACAGATTCATACATTTTATGTTCTGCTGCTGCTCAATGGCACCCTCTGGTGCTGGTTTTTGTTTTTTTTTTTTTTTTTCCTTGTCTTTTAGCCTAGTGTCCCTGAATTTTTATTCTTGGAGTTAGATATCTTTTGAATCATGATTCACATTTTTTATGTGACCTAGATTTGGAATCTTCCAAATAAGACAGCCTCCAGGAGCTAAGGGATTCCATTTTAGGGAGAGGAAGACCTGAGTTAGACCCTGTTCTTGCTGAGAGAGATGGGCCTTACCAATGGATGCCGCTGCTTACCATGGGATTCCATTTTAGTTTCGTTGATCTGGCCACTTCTTAGACAAGAAAATGGTCTTTACAATCCCAATATTGCTACATCCTTCCTCAGCTGGTGACTTTCTTCTGAATTTAGAAGTCTGAGAAAATTTTTTTCTTAAAATCCCAGCATGGGGTTAAGGAATAATACCCAAACTTGAAGTTAGAAATCCTAAGCTCAAACTCTGGCTCTGCTACTGCTTGTATTCATGGGCTAGTCTCTTCTCCTTTTTCATGTGTGAAATGAAAGGATTGGACTAGATCATCTTTTACAGTTTCTTGCACTCTAAGAATCTTTGAGAGGGCATTTCAGGATGTCAACAATCGTCTGAGGACTGGTGAGGTAAAGTTATTTTCTCTGGGTCACATGGCTAATAAGTGGTAACTTAGATATGAGTTCACTCTGACCCCAGGGAGTGCTTTCTTTAACACACACTTGTTTCTTCTTCCAGCACAAGTTAGTTGTCCTTGACATCTCACTGCTAATAGCATTGCTGAAGGAGGCAGAACAGGCATTACCTGGGAGTTTGCTAGAAATGCAGAAACTCAGACCTTATCCCCAACCTACACAGAGTAATAGAGGAGTCTAACAAACCACTTTCATCTACAGAAACAGTAACTCATGTCCACTTTTTTTTTCACATTTCAGATTTGATTTTGGCAAAGAAACATCCCAAATACTGAAGCTTGAAAATGCCTTGTACTTTGATCGAAAATACCTTTTTGCAAATTCCAAGACTTACTTCAATCTAGCCGTAGATGAAAAAGGCCTTTGGATTATCTATGCTTCAAGTATGGATGGTTCGAGCATTCTCGTAGCACAGCTGGATGAGAGGACATTCTCAGTGGTGCAACACATCAATACCACGTACCCCAAATCCAAGGCTGGCAATGCCTTCATCACCCGAGGAATCCTCTATGTCACAGACACCAAAGATATGAGGATCACATTTGCCTTTGATTTGATAGGAGGGAAACAAATCAATGCAAACTTCGATTTAAGAACTTCCCAGTCTGTTCTTGCCATGTTATCATACAACATGAGAGATAGGCATTTGTATTCGTGGGAAGATGGCCATTTGATGCTTTATCCTGTGCTGTTTTTGTCAGCTACCTTAAACAAGTGATGAGCTGCATTCTGTGTCCCTCAACAAATTTCAGATGATTTTTGGGGCCATTTCTACCAAAGGAAAACATGTCTTTAAGGGTAGCCAGGTACTTAGAACATAATGTGATGACTTGAGTATATATATGGTCAAGAAGCTCCCTTTAAAATCAGATTGCTTGGCCAGGCTTGGTGGCTCAGTCTATAATCCCAGCACGTTGGGAGGCTGAGGTGAGTGGATTGCCTGAGCCTGCGGGTTCAAGACCAGCCCGGGCAACTTGATGAGCTCTCGTCTCTACAATAAATCAAAAATTAGCCAGGTGCAGTAGTGTGCGCCTATATTTCCAGCTACTTGGAAGGCTGAGGTGGAAGGATCGCTGGAGCCCAGTGGGTCAACACTGGGGTGGTCATGAGTGTGCCGCTGTACTCCAGCCTGGGCAGTAGAGTGAGACTCCAACTCAAAAATAAAAATAATAATAATAAATAATCAACAAAATCAGATTGCTTAGCGAACCAGTAATGTACTAGAAGTTGAAATGGAAGTTGAGATTTGGTGATTCCTTTACAAATTAGTTGGGCAAATTACTTTTTCATCCTTGAATCTTGACTTCCCCACTGGTAATATGAAACAGCTGGCTGAGACGACTGGTAAAATTTCCTTACCTGTAGGATATTCTGTGATTCTTGGCTGTTGCTAGTCTCACAACTTTTATATATCTGGTTCTATTTGTGTGTGTGTGTGTGTGTGTGTGTGTGTGTGTGTGTGTTTTCTTTTAGCTATGTGCTGAACAGATTTATCTTTGAATTGATAAGTGCTCTTGCTTGAGTAGTGAATTCCTCAGTGCTGACTTACATTGGTGCTTTGGAAAGATGCATTGATTCATTTTTACTTCTAAGGTACCATGTTATTCATCATTTACTCCTTTTCCCTGCATCTACACCTGCCACCACAGAATGGCCATTATCCTCAGCTCCAGTTAGCAAAAGTCAAAAACAGCTGCCTGCTTGAGTTTCTTAAGGACACAAAACTGGGCTCTTCCAGGTTCCCATAAATTTCTGATAATGTCGATTTGTAGCTATGGATCATAAACACTGAGTCCTCAGGTCACTCTGGCTTCTTCCCCATGGCTGTAGACATACTTTTGGAGTACTGAATACTGTGTGAGTGGCCATTAGTTGACTGCTACCAGGAGAAGCATTTAGCAGTGTTCAGAAGAGAGGCACGATATGTAGTTATTATCTAGAAGAGGGACTGGCAAACCAGGGACCTTGGGCCAAAGCCAGTACATTGCCTGCTTTTGTAAATAAAGTTTTAGTGAGCGCAGCCATACTCGTCTATTGATGAATTATAATCTGTGACTACTTTTGCTCTACAACAACAGAATCGAGTTGTTGCGAAAGGCTGTATGGCTCCACAAAACCCACAACATTTATTGTCTGGGCCCTTACAGAAAAAGTTTGCTGAGCCCTGATCAAGAACATAAGCTGAGCCTGATTCTTGGAAGAATCTGAATCAGAGCCTGTGTTGTTTTGTTTCAGACCGAGAAGTGGCATGTGATGTGAGGTTTTGGCAGAGGGTAAGGGTGATAACAGGGTACGGTTAAGTGACCCTCCACAAAAGCAGTTGGGGGTGAGGATGCTGTTCTTTCCCTGACATGGTTTTAAAGGATGTGCTCTTGTACCCTGGAATGCCAAGAGAGAACCCAGTAGAACTTGCTCCTAAGTGTCCCTAAATATGCATATTGCAAGTCCTCCAACATCCTTCAGCTCAGCACAGAGGTCCCAGCAGGGCCTCTGGAAGTAGAGAGGAGCTGGGAACTGTCACCCTGCAGCCAGGAAGGGAGCTGGAAAAACGTTATGCAAAGATTTTTCAGCAATTTGCCCCAATTTATATGTGCTCTGAAACTTTTTCTCTGGGCCCAAATCCATTCTCAGCGGCCCTGAGTTCTGGTTTTATACACAATTAATAGTGTGTAAAATTTAATATTTAAAACTTGGGAGATATACAGATTTAATATACAAATCCCACCACACCCTGAAAATACCCAACTGCTAGTGACTTTGTTGTGTTCTGAAGATAATGGGTATTTGAAACTTTCCCCCTTCACTTTTTCATGTTCATGGATTGATCATGTCATGTTCACCAGCTTTTAAAAAACATCCTTTGAGATTCATGTTTTGTAAAAAAGTAAGAGTCTCATGTTCAAGATCAATATGTTTAATGAGTGCTAGTGTTCTTTTAAAGTATTTAAATATGTATGCTGCCATTTCTGAACACAGGAGACCTGGATATGAATATAATTTCATGGTAATACTAGCATAGTAAGAGTAATACATGCAATACTAATTGTATATGTGGCAGCAACCAAAAGAGGTTAGTTATGGTATTAGCACATATTCCTTTTAGGAAAATGTTTTAGAAGCCCCAATATTGATATCTGAGCTATCTTTGCTCCCTTAACTGTGAGTCAGGAATCATATGCTTACCGCTAGAGAAGTTCACACTGGGACTTTTTTTCTTTTGCTATGGCAGACTAATGTTAATGTAAGGACAACTGAATTTGACCGATGTTTAATGGCAGCGGGTAATTTTATAATCTGGCTTATCTTTACAAAGAGAATTAAGATTTTATTTATTATTTCCTGCAAACAGTACTTGATTTTTTAAAAAGTTTTGGGCTCATTCTAAAATAGAATGTTCATCTTAACATTTTAAAGTCAAGATATTGTTTAGCAGTTTATCCTCTCACTTATAACCAAAGCTGCTTTAAAGCACTTTCCAAATAGCTGCGCTTCTGATGTCAAAATCAAACCAAATGTTTCTCTAATTCTTCTTTCATCTGAAGTAGATAGCCACCCACTGGAAAGTAAATAAAACCGTCCCTCCCAACCTCAAAGCTAGGTCAGACTCTATTTCAAAGCACTTTCTTTCAACTGATAAAGTGTCCTACTGAAGCCAAGCAGGTGGCTCTGGTCTCAGTGTATCATCAGGCACAGGTGCTATGACAGAGCAGAAAGTTCTGGGGTGAACGTTTTAAAATGGGGAGTTCAGATCTTAGGCACCTTCGCAATTGTAAGGTGAAAAGTCAAATGAAACACTACAATCCTTGAAGAGTCAGGTGTCATTTTCCAACTGCACAGAACACATTTTGGCTGTTGCTGTTTGAAGTCCAGCCATCTGAAGGAGGAATAATAGAGCCTTTAAGTTTCCATCCCACTGCTGTGACCTGTGTATCACAGCACTGACAGCCATAATCTCCAATCTACACATACCGTGAACCACACATGAACAAGGATGAATGTCTTTTTGGTTGTAATTTTTTAACTTTAATGAGTCAAATAAAATATTTACTTCTGAGCACAATCACATATTGAAACTAGTATATTGTTATTTTTACCTCTTGTTAATTTAGATGTAACATTTAAAAGAAAAAAGAACAACCTAATACAATATTGTGGTAGAATTATCTAAGTTGCTCCTCGGTGGAAACTCCCAGAATTTGCTAGCTCCTTATGAATACAGTACTGAAAAATCACTGATATGGACTGTGCTTTCTCTGAAACATGGAAGTCTAGTAACTAAAATGGGGTTATACATATAATTAATTAATTAATTAATTAATGCAATAAGTGTTTGCTAATTTATCAGCATGGGCAAGGCAACCAATAATTTAATATTTGAGGCTTAAAATAAAAAGAACAAATTTTAAAAACTGGATTTGTGTGAGTTTGGACAAGTCTCTTGATTCCTCGGAGTCTCTGTTTCATTTGTAAAATGTAGATAATAGTATTACTTACCTCCTTTGATTTTTTCTATATAAAATGCTCTGAAAATTAGATGACTCTTAACAAACTATGTTACTTTTATAGTTCCTTCCTACAGGGAACCAGAGTGACCCCATTGTTCTTATGGCCCTAAGTAGGGCTGCAGAGATGGTTGAGGACACAGTGTCAGTGGTTTCCATTGCTGAGACCAGGCATCAGGTGAATCGGGTAGGTAACACTGTCACACTACCAAAAAATGGTCCCTTAGTCAAACAACAAATTTAGAATAGAACTGTCCCTAAGTAATGAAAACACAGCTCAAGAACCTGCTGTCTTGACCTATAGACCTTCCCGAAAATCATCTGTCACTGGGCCAGGCATAGTGGCTCACACTTGTAATCCCAGCATTTGGGAGGCTGAGGTGGGAGGATCGGTTGAGATCAGGAGTTCGAGACCAGCCTGGGAAACACATGACGACACCATCTCTATAAAACATTAAAAAATTAGCTGAGCATGGTGGAACACGCCTGTAGTCCGGGCTACTTGAGAGGCTGAGGTGGGAGGATCGCTTGAGCCCAGGAGTTCAAGGCTGCAGTGAGCTATGATTGTGGCACTGCACTCCAGCCTGGGTGACACAGCAAGAACTTATCTCTTAAAAAAAGAAAAAGTCTGTTACTCGACAGCCCAGGCATGCACTGCTGCTTTTTGTAATTTAAATATTAGAAAGAAAAAAGGAAAGCTCCAAGAAGAAAGACTTTGCATGTGATTTTAAGAGACCTAATCTTACAGTCGTGCACTGAAAAGATTTTAAATAAGGATGGAATTAGTCTTTCAGTCTCACTACTGTTCCCTCCAAGCACTCTGCTGTGATCAACTTCAACAACTGAGTTGAGTTTTAAATAAGTAGTTAATCTGCTTCTAAAATCTGAATCCTGTATCTAGCAATCTGAGGTTGTCAATGTCCCAAACTTGCCAAGTGGCCACATCCATAATCACAGGGCTATAAAAGGTTGACACTGGATGGGACTTTCATGGAACACCTGATCCAACCCTTCCTCTCATTTTAAGTCTAGGAAAGTGAGACCAAAGATTACTAAGTCCACATGACAGCTTAAGTGCCAGAGTCAAGACACAACACTTTAAACACTTTTTCCTGACTGTTTTCCACATCATTCTGCCACTTCCAAAGGAAGGATCTGGTTCTTGTCATTGGACAAACATATGGACTTCGCAACAACTTGGATGGATTTGGAGTCTATCATACTCAGTAATCTATCACAGAAACAAAGAACAGAGTACCATATGTTCTTACTCGTAAGCGGACCTTGAATAATACTATAAGAAAGGGATTGGCAATAGTGGAAAGTTAAAATAATTAACTTTGAACATTTTTATGAGTA